TCTACGGTATCCACCGTCGATAGAACTTTACTTCTCGATCGTCTACTGAGTTAGAAATAGCACTATCAATCTCCTCCTTTTGATTATGTATTGGATTTTAAGGCTGACATCAGTATCGGTCGAATTGCTGATTTCCAAATGAATGATGTTCTCTATTTTTCTGAAATAATTGCTGCCAACAATGACATGAGTGTCGAGACGTGAATGCGCTGACTATTGATGACTCTAGATCCTCTTTCACCTTTGCTTACATATCGAACTTGAGAAAGCCAGAAAAATTTGTGCGGTTGTAGAGGACGATGATGTCAATGCCATCTTTATTTCTTATAAAAGATTGTACCTGAGCGATTTAGTGATGTAGCTTTTATTTTCTTTTCCATTACTAGATTAAAGGAGTCGCACGATAGGCGGGAGAGGTGGGACGTGAACCGGATGAAAAATTTGGTCGGTTCGGTTCAGCGGTTCGAACCGTTGTTGCACTTTTGGATTGGTTCGCCAAAGCGGTCTTTTGGTTTTTGAACCTGGGTTTCGGTTCGGTTCAACGGTTCGGAAAAACAAAAAAATAAAGTGTCAAGTGCAACAACGCGCAAGGTTAAGGGTCAAGTGAGATGGGCTGCATTTACATTTGATATTGTCACATGGTAAAAAAACATGGTAGGTATTACCATTTTTAACAAAAAGAAAACAAAGTGGGTACATTTATCTATCGAAAATTGGTTGAAACGAACCTTTAAACCTTTAAAGAAAGTGGTTCGGTTTTCGGTTCGGATCAAACATTTGTGGAAAATTTCGGTTCGGTTAATGGTTCAGTTAATTAATAGAAAAAAGCGGGTTTCCGGTTCCAAACCGGTTCGGTTCAAAACCGGTTCGGTTCAAAACCGGTTCACGTCCCTGGTTTTTATACACTGTTGCTTCCTCGCATAGGCAGTTTTTTTCGTTCTCTCTCGGGTATTTTTCAAGATTTGTCCTATGAAGAACAGTTAATGGTGGACTTACTATGTCTGAGGCCAAACCGAAAAGATCTAATAGTTCATAGGTTATAAACGCAAAGCTTAATAGACGGAATCAATAATATTTAGTGCATATGGAAGATCGCCTTTCGTTTGGCTTATGCTGCCCACATTTATATTCCAGTCGTCTGCTGTATTCCCTTTACCAGGCGATGCGTTAATTACACCCTGCCGCCGTATTTGAATAACTCAGCACTAGTAAAGTTTGTTGTTTTTAGACGACAGATTGCTATTCGTCATAATCGGACGCTGGGTCATCGACTCGGGCGTATTTTCTTGGGGAATCGGCTTTATCCTCTCACTCTTCTCTACTGTTTGTTCTTACAGGAGTTCTCACGGGTCTTGTAATTTTCAGTAAGTCAACTAACTACCGGCAGGTATTCACACTCACGTATTTCGGCCTCTCTCTTATTTACACGGAAAATATTTACATAGTATTCGCCTCCCTCTTCAGCTCCCTATATCGATCCCACATATCCTGCAGTTGTTTTGTTGAACTCTCTAATATCCAAGTATTGGTTTACTAGTTTTTCTTTAAAATATTTTTTTGTTTAATAAAAATGGATGGAGATCTATAACCTAAAATACTTAACAGCGTTGGTACTTCGTTACGACCGTAGTAAGTTTGCTACGATTTTTCAAAAATGTTAAAGTTTGCTATCCCACTACTGGAAACCATGGGCCAAATATAGTAAAATTGTGTATTTAATTTTTCGCTCTGACGTCAGTAATTCAAAAATGATTTCAAAAATTCAGTGAAATGTGCTTAGAGAATAGGAAATCCTGTAGAATTTCAAATATTCAACCTTTTGGTGCAGAAGAACTGGTAAGTATTGAAAATGTCCTTTTCAAATTGTATCCTTGAAATTTCGCAATATGTGTTTTTGAAAAAGTTATATGTTAAGGACTTATATAAACTCGATAACATCCACGAATTTACTTATTTAAAGTCTTAGTAATTTTCTGCAGTTCAGCTTCTTTATTCTTTATACCTTAGAAGCATAGTTTAGCTGTAAAAGGGATCTAAAAAAACATCTTTGCCTTTATATATAAGGTGTTCTTTCAAAGTTATCTTAACGATGGAGATTATAGCACGTATATATGGGAAGGGTCTATCTGGAATTGCACTTTAAATAATAGCCGCACTCAATAGATTTTCTTGTCATTACCTAGTAAATTGGAGCTCTGAACAGAGTCCGACTATAGTATCAATTTTATTCTGAACAAATGCTAAATTCAAAAGCAACGATACATCGTGATGGGACTATTTTGAAAGGTATTCAATAGCAAAAATTTCAGCCAGTTGACTGAATTGGTGCGATAAGCTTGAAATTTCGATCTTTATGAAGTTTGGGCATAGTTCATGGTGCCCGCAGAGGTTAAAAAAATTAAAAAGTTCAGAAGTGTACATATGTACATACATATACAGATACATATGTATGTATATACACTCAAGGAACCTGCTACATGTTCATAGGTGAACCTGCGCTTAAGTACGCTTGAAAACACTGAACATCAGCGTGAGCAGCCAGTATCTAGCAGTCTTTATGTATCCAATAGGCGATCTGCCAAGCGGCTTAAACAAATCTCATGTCAAACTTGCATAGCAAACCAATAATGAAATTGTTGTTGTTGCTGAATTAGCTATAAGTTGTATAATAATGCATTATTGTTCCTTTCTCTCCTTCGTTGGCTGGCAAACATGGTTTAATCGCTAAGCCGTTTGCTAAGCCGTTGAAAGATGGGTGTCGATTTGAACCAGCCAACGCCTTCCCCTTTCTGCTTAAGGTACGTTTAATACATCGTAGTACGTGCACACCGGTTATTAATTTCGAAATATTTTAGCGATGTATAGAATTCTCATTAGTGGTAAATCGCGTGAGAGACATCAAGGGATGAGAGTACGTACGTATGTATGTTGAGGTGTGCCCATCGGAGATAGAGGCACAACATACATACATATGTAGGTATTTGCTTAGATATGCAATCAAAAATGAATAGTAAATTCAATTAACGCAAATTGTTTGTATAACATGAAAGCAAGTACATGCATGGCTTTTTGCATATATACATACTAGGCTGGTAAAAAAAGTAAAGTCGGAATTTTAATCGACGCCCTAGTATTGTTCTAAATCGAAAAAATTTACCTTGTTTTTTTTTGAATCAAAAAATATTTAGAGGTCACTCAAAGCGCTCAAAGCTCTCCATGTATTTTATGGCATAGAAGTCTTAAAAATATTGGAAGTCTTTTGAAGAGAAGCAAAGTTCGCCGATTTGAAAAAATTGATATTCACCAATTAAAAAAAAATTCACCAAAATAAAAATTTTTTTTCATATAAAATACGTTGAAAGCTTTGAGCCCTTTGAGCGACTTCGAAAATTTTTTTGATTTCGAAAAAACAGGGATAAATTTTTTAGATATAGGACAATACTAGGAATGAGAATATTAATATTTACTTCTTCAAATGCATTTTTGGGCCACCCTGATGCATACATACAATAGATATAGGCTGATTGTATCTCTCAGTATTTGTGTGCACTGACAGTTGAAAAAAAATCATTTTAGGGGGCATAGGTCGGAGTATTCAAGATAAGGGTATTCAACATTTTCCGAAGAAATCCAAAGGTATACAATATGTATGTATGCATGTCTACTTATATATCAAAACTGGCTGACTTTTTGAGAATACAACCTTACCAAATTCTCTGACTTCGGGAGAGAGAGCTTTTTCACTTAGCAAGCAACTGAGAATTTGGCGGCTTTAATGAGCAAATTTCCATGACAATGAAAGGTAGCTATTCAACTCCAAAGCCAGTCTATTGGTAGAACGAGCTGTGACGATCTCAACGGAATAGAAATGATGTAGAATTTGAAGAACGCTGAAGGAAATATGTAGATGCAAAAAATTGCGCAAGAGGCTTATGATAAAACAGAAAAGTTGTTGCCTTCAAACCGCTCTGCACTGATGTTGATAAAAATCCTTGGAGCACCGTTTATAAGATCATGATTTCTTAAATCGAAATAACACTGCAAGCAAATTTTCGTTTTCTGTTGGTAGAAATCATTCGCACCCAGTTTCCTCAACATAAACTAGTCTTCCTGTCACGTATGTAAAATAACAACAATGACTTAGTGGTGGTCGCATCGGAAGAAATTATTGCTGTATCCAACCGGACTGGAAGTAATAAGGCGCCTGTACTCGATGGCGCCCCGAACGTAGCTCTGAAAATAGGAATCAAAGAAGATAAGAACAATGTCTGCGTAAGCAATACAGTAAAGCTTAAAATAAGATTATTTTCCAGACGTATGAAAAGCGCTATAACTGCATATGTACATAGTACATTCACTGAAACCGGACACCTAGTGAAGGAACCTTAAGTGTGTTATTCTCATCCGCCTAATTCAATTCACATTCTCAACTCACTTAAAAGGTTGTCCGAGCCATCATAATTGTTTTACATCATTCATAGCTACATACATACCTCAGTGCTAGTGTATGATATAGAAATGCCGTTTTTAAATCGATTAAATCGAAGATTGATTAATCGAGCCCTTCCGA